AGATAGATAGATAGATAGATAGATAGATAGATAGATAGATAGATAGATACATACATACATACATACATACATACATACATACATACATACATACATACACAGATACATACATAGATACATAAACAAGCAAATAAATAAATGGATAAATAAGTAAATGAATGAAGAGTGAATGAATGAATGCATGAATGTGTGTTCCACTACTTCCATCTCTTCAGGCCATACTCTGGAATTTTTCCCTCTGCTCATGAAATCCCAAGCATCTATCTTCCAGACTCAAATGAGACTGCAAGCAGCAGTTCGGCAGAAAACATGGAAAATCTAGATAGCTAATCACATAGAGGGGAAAGTACAAACCCAGAAGATCTGGGGACCTTACGTAAATCTCCTAACCACCCCAAACGGTATACATTGATGGTTAGTTTCAACTGTCAACCTGACACAACCGAGAATCACTTGGGATGGGCATCTTCCTCAGGGACTATCAAGATTAGATTGGCCTGTGGACATGTGAGAGATCGTCTCTATTATGTTCACTGATGTGGGAAGTCCCAGCCTAAAAGCACACAGCACCATTCTGTGGATTTTGGCCCCGGAGCAGATAGAGAGGAGGCAAGCTGAGCACAAGTGTCCACACATTCCCTGATCTCTGTTCCTGAAGATGATGCCATGTAACCAGGTCACTCAGATGCTGCATCTCTGACTCTCCGACTGTGATGGACTATAGCCTGAGCTAACATAAACATTTCTTCCCCTAAGCTGCTTTAATGGAGGCATTTTATGAAAATATCAGGAAAGGAAAGTTGAATGTGCACTCTTAATACTACAACTTTCACAGACCTGAAAACCAAGTCTCCAAGAGTAGGGCGCATGCTTTGAACATGATTATCAATACTAGCAGAGGAAGACACTTAAAGCCTACCGTAATCCCAGCATTCCTTCTGTGAAACCATCGGTATCCCATGGAATAAATATATAAACTCCTTCCAGAAATTTTCTTTATTTTCATAGAGAGCAAAACATACACTCAGTGGAAGAAATAAATGGTAGAAGAAATTTCGTGCAGAGAAACTCTACAGGCTCCGGTGATACGCAAAAATCCTTGCGCCAATGTAACCTGACTCAGACAACTAGAACACAAGGGCCTGCTGCTGGCACACTGGCCCACAACATCTGTCTATACTGCTAAATGACATGACATTTACCAGCCCTGGAAGAAGAGGATTTTCATTCTTCCATAAGATGTAAACTCTGTTTTGGACATAATGAAACTGAGGTGCAGAAAATCTCAGCGAACCATCTGGGGTCAAAGAGGTCTAAAAGCTTAGTGTCCAGATTGCCAATTAAGCTGGAAGGGTGAGAGGAATCTTTACCCAGAATATTAATCGGGGGTGGGGGTAATGGCTCAGTACATAACTGTCATGCAAACAGGAAGACCTGACTCCAATCCCCAGAACTTATGTTTTAAAAAATATATCAGACATGGTGGCATGTACTTATAATAGCAGCCCTGGGAAGGTAGAGACAGGCGATCACTATGGCTCACTGGCCAGCCTATCTATTCTACTCAGTGACCTCCAGGTCAAGGAGAGATACTGTCTCAGGAAACAAGGGATGGTTCCTGAGAAATGAAACCAGGGTTTACTTCTGGCATCCACAGGAACATACACATACATGGATGCACAGAAGCACACACATGCACACATATCAACCCCCATACACACACATATACAGAAAATGTCAATCTTACACTAATAAGTAGAGAAATTAATATGTTTATGCAGATTAAATACAATCTTAGTTGTAACAGAAAATAGAGGATAAAAGAAAAGCACAAAATCAAAGACTAGTAAATAAATTTGGAAGAAATTCCAGACGTTCCAAAATAATAGCAATGACCATTACCAGAGAAGGGTATTATTTCTTGTTTGGTTTTGGTTTTGGTTTTTTCAAGACAAGGTTTCTCTGTGTAGCCTTGGCTGTCCTGAACTCGCTTTGTAGAGCAGGCTGGCCCGGAACTCACAGAGATCTGCTTGCCTCTGCCTCCCTGAGTGCTGGTATTACAGGCATGTGCCACTGTGACTGGCTGGATATTATTTATTAATGCTGTTTTTCTCAATATTTGTCAAAATTTTCATAAATCACTCATTTCATGACACAAGACCCTAACAACAAGTATTATGAAGAACTTTTAGCCCTGCTTACCCTAGCAGGCTTCTGCCTTGAAGGACATGCCTGAACACTAGGAGGAACCGGAAGGGGCATACTCACCCACCAGCTGTGGCAGAGAAGATGCCTCCCGGTCAAGCATGATGGAGCCTTTCTCCATACACGTCCTCAGCTCGAACAAGCTGTGCAGCGACAAGGTGGCCACGTGGGGTTTGCTCCATCGCTCCCCACCCTGCTCCACTTTTTCTTCGAACTTAATCCACCTAGGCAGACGAGGTGAGTGAGACACAATTAAAAGGACGGCACCCTTCCCTGAAGGCAGGACCAACCCCCACCCACCCACATCCCGGACCAGCTCTTCCAGAATGTCTCCTCTCACTCAGTCTTAATAGCTCATCGTAGCATCAACTCTGTCACCTGATCACTCCATCTCTTAAAAAAAGAAAAAAATAAAATAAACGGACCCCCCCCCGTGTAACCATGAAATCAATAAGTGATTATTTAATGATTAATGATTTAATTATTTAATGATTATTTAAGTGATTTTTTTTAGATGAGAAAAACCTACATCTCAAAATTCTCCATGTAGGTAGACCCTGTAATGATACAACCAGCCACCGCAGCCAGTGTTCTGTTCTGACCTTACAGAGTAGGCTTGTTTAAGATTAAGTGGCAACAATGAACCAATATTTATCTCAAATGGAAAATGACCAGTTGCTGATGCTTAATGAGGTCCATGTTTTGCCATGTCTCCATTTGATGTCTATGTCTCAGCTGGTATGTGTGCCTCTCACTGAGATGCTAATAGAAACTTTACCCTTCAAACCAGGCTCCACGTAAGTTTAAAAGGAGCAAGCTCAGTGGAGCACAGATGCACTGTGATGAGAATACATCTAGTAATCTTTGCATTGGGTCAGACAACCCTCATCCATCGCTTCTGCTTTCCAAGACATGTAGACATTTTGAAAACAGAGAAAGCAAAGACAGTTTTCAAAGTCTGAGGAAAAAAAAAATACATGTTGAGGCCTTCATAATTCCTGTATTATATCACACAGACTTTCTGAATCAGCTAAGGGAAATTGCATTCCTTGCCCTTTTCCATCCAACCTCTGAATGATGCTGGAATGGTAATGACGAGGTTAAATTTTGTTTCCCTGCATGATTCACCCAAGGGTTTAATGATTGAAAAACATTTCCCTAGAACAAGTAAAACACCTAACTCACTGCAGATGAGAACAAAGGGCAGGAATCAGAGAAAGTACTGCATAAGATACTGTTTATAGGACACTTATCAACCTCCAGGGAGGGGAAGAAGCAGATAAGAGGACCACGAGTGAAACCGAGCAAGAGATCAGCCGCAGTGTCGAGGAAAGTCTAGGATTTTTATCACACCCAGCACTCATCTGATTCAGAAGCATCTTCCCATGGCCCTCCACTCTCCTCCCAGGAAGCCCATAACTGCCAGGCAGCTCCTACATGTCAGCGGTAATGTCTGTCGCCAACCTCTCAATGACTAGAGTCCCTTTACCCTGTGTATTCTACCCACCAAAAAAAAAAAAAAAAAAAAAAACCAGTGGCAAGTGGCAGGTGGCCTCGACTTCTAAATGTTTACCTTTTTATCGCTAGAGTTTAGAAGTGGCAGCTCTAAGCATGGGTAGGTGTAAGCAAATGTAAACAATGTAAACAGACTCAGCAGGATGATGCATACAGAAAAGGGTCATGAAGTGGAGAGGGAGTAGGGGTAGATACAGGAAGAGCTGCAATCGGGGGAGGGAGAAGAAGAAATGATGTAAATACTCGACTCGGATAGAAAATTCTCAGTAAATAAATAAATAAAAGAGCAAAGTCAGCAATATCATCAAAGAGATTTTACATCTTCTAAGCTGGACCTGGCTTACTTCCTTAGAAGCAGTTGAGACACATTTCAAAACAGAGTGAGAAACTTCTATCATAATTATACCCCTCCCACACTTATATGTCTGAATTGGCATTTTTCTTCCTTTTTGGTTGGAATTATTTCCAGGAAACAGAAGGAGCTGTAAATAAATGATAATTTTATATCCTGCACCTTATGGCTATGAACAAAATAATAATAAACAATCAAGGAAACTGGGTTACTTCAAAATAACCATACGATTATGATGCTGTTAACTTTGGGTAGCACCTTTTCCTGATTGCTCTCAGAATCTTTAAACATGCTGTGGTAGTTGTTACCTGAGCCATTTTACTACATGTGTCTTAAGTTATAGCTCAAGATCAGACTCCACAAGATAGAAGAGTCTATAGTACTCTTCTACTATCGGATCAAGACTACCTAGAAATATGCCATCTATGAAAAATACAGTGGGTAGCTGCTTAGAACTTCTAAAGATATTCTCACTAGCTTAGAATCTTTGATCAAAGAATTTAAACCCAAGATAAATGACAAGGGTCAACCAGAAACTGCAATTTATAAATGTTTCAAACAAGCTTCATTCATTTCCCCTTCTTTCTTAAATGAGCTCCCATCTATCAGCAGTTATCCATCTGTATCACTAACCTTATATCTTGAAAGATAACTAAGCACTACTGTCATACACATGCATGCAATAAAATATAAGTAAATAAATATTTTTAAATTATGTGTTGAAATCTTGGGGTTTGGGGGTTCGGGTAGTTGCTGTTGCTGGGCTAGGTTTTTCAGATAGTCTTACTCTGTAGCCCAGGTTAGCCTTGAACTCATAGCAATCCTCCTGCTGTAGTCTCCCATGTTCTGGGATTACACGTAGAGCACCCACACCCAGCTTTATATGTTGAAATTCTAGTGCCCAAGGTTGTGCACATATCAAGAGCATATTGGCCCTACCACACACCAACTCTGCCAAGCCCTTAATCTTGGACTTCACATACAATGAAAAGTACGTTTCTACTGTTGTAAGATATTTAGTTTGAGGTATTCTGTCACTGCAGCCCAAAAAAGCTAAAACAATCCTCAATTACCTAAGCAACATAAGCTTAATAAACTTAAAAAAAAAAAAAGAGCATCATTCACTGAATCTCTTTCTGGCCTGTCCTTTAGTCTTCTCTGCGGCTTACACTGCAGGTAACTGGCTGACTGAAAGCAGGAATCAGGGCAAACTCTTCAAGAACAGTAAGAAATCAGAAATTCCAACTGGGCTGGGCCTTCAGAAGAGCAGTACCTCGCCTGACAGATCCTACCAATCCTGCAGATCAAGATCACCACAGGAAAGGAAGTGAAGTCTCACAGCCAGCCCACTGTTTACAGTTCTAGCCCTAAGGGATGTATGCTATCTCGGGGATAATTTTAGCATCTATTTCACTTCAACTTCCATAAATATTGAATGTTGTGATGATGGCATAAGGCGTAGCTAACAGCATACGGGAACTCTGGCATAATGCCTGCCAAATGAATCCACTGCACTAATTGTTCAGGGGATGGTAATACCAATTTGTCCCTTTCAACGGTTTGTAGAGAGTTTTCATCCCAGAACTGGTACATGCTTCTGTCTACGCTCCTCACACATCAAGGACAAACTTAAAAAACAAAGAGCCTATGCTCCTCAGCTCAAATCAACATCCATTAAAAGGAAGGCTAAGGCAGAGAGACCAAAGTTCAGACTATCCAAGAGCCAGACATTCTGCAAAGGTGCTTTAGACCCATGTAATTACGGTTTAAAACAAAACAAAACAGACACTTTCACTGTGGCAGTACCGAAAACCACTGAGTACCCTTGACAGTAACGGTAAACAGCTACACAGTTGCAATGCGTTTCTGGCTTTTTCTCTCTCGTTTCAGTACGTGACATGCTACAGGAAAACTAATCTTAGAGGCTGGCTTTTTAAATGCTTGCGATTACAAAACTGTTGTACCCTTGGAGGAGCAGTTTGTTAGGTGAATCTTATTTGTTCCAAGGTCTTAGAAGAGTAATGATAAAGTACTCCGCAGTTTAATATACTTTGAGTGGCTGCCAACCGAAGAACATTTCCCTGGATCGCTGAAGAAACAGAAGACCCACGGGGAAATCACTGCATTTTGCAACTTTCCAATCATATGATTAAAGATAATTAAGTAAAGACAAGACCTCTATCTTGCCAGTTTCATAGTGGAAAATCCTCACGACCTTTGCACTAGACTATAATCCAACTGTGTAAAACTACTGATGTAATAATAATGAATTTCTTGCTAATTAAAAAATGCTTCGTTACACATAAAAGAAGTCAATGCTAGTATGTACCTGGGATAAATGATATTTTAAGGAAAATTCATAAATATCTAGATCAACTGTGGTAAGTACTGCATATAATTACCTAGATATAACGACACCTAATTATACAGGTGATTAGATTCCTTGAATAATCTTTTTACGGAAAAAAAAAAAAACTAAAATAAACTTGGTCCAACAAGGAATTTCCCAGAGTAATCTCCTAGAGAAAGTCAAAGAACTGTAGACTATGGAGCTGACAAAGTCATAGTGTAAAGTGTAAGCCGCTGTTCTGGGTCCATGACCTTAAAAGAGGTTTCGCAGAGGTCAGCTGGGTCAGCATGCCCAACAGAAACAAATAAACATTACTTTGCGTTGTGTTCCTGGATCTGACACGCCAGTGCCCTTTCCCTCTGTTGGCTAATGTTTTTGAAAAACTTCTAACGGCCTTCTTTTTTTTTACCGGGTTTGGCAGTGTAGGTTAGACTACGCTGAGTGGGTGATCTTTAACATATATTCATGCAATAGTGATGGTGTTCAGCCCTGGCCATGGCAAACTCACTAAGGGCAAACTCACTAAGGGCAAACTGAAAATGAGGAGGTTGCTTTGGAAGAGCTAACTCAAATGAAGAAGTGGAGGAAGAAGAGAAAAAAAATCCATCCCTTCCTCGTGACTTTGGTCCATCATCAAAGCAAGGCTGAGAGTTACCCTTAATCTGTCTGCTTTCAGTGCCTGTGAACTGATTCTAATAGGCTCCTGTTTTGGTTTGGTTTTGATTTTGGTTTATTTGTTTTATTTTGTTTTGTGACAGGATCTTACAAATTCCAGGCTGGCCTCAAACTCACCATGTAGCCATGAACTTCTGATTCTCCTGACTCGACCACTCAAGTGCTAGGATTATAGTCATGGGCAACCAAGCTCAGTTTATTTAATGGGTCTCTAATGAAGACTACAGGCTTCTTCACCCATTTCAAGTGATTCCATTTTCATTACTGAGGTCTTACTCAATGCTCTTTTTTTCTAATGACTACAGATTCTGAAAGTACCCTTTAGAAAGACTGATATTGTCTCTCCATCAGTCAGACACACTCAATAAGCATAAGAAGTCTACCCTTGGCACCAACCTTCAGTTGGTGCACTATTTTGGAAAAGCCAAAGTTCTAACCTTACCTTATAGCAAAGAAAAAACAAGAAAAATGTGAAAAGGAGGACAACAGAGCTGATGGCCGCTTTAAATCCCACTGACGTACAAGTCTCTCTTGCTGGTAAAATTTCATGACTGCTTTCCCCGAAGTGACCATCTCCTCTATTACTAAAAAAACAGTTTCATTGTATGAGGAATAGAACCAACCTAAAACTCCCAAAGTGAGTCTCAAACCACAGTAATATCAAAGCTCACTGGAGAGGATTCTTAGTTAAATAATATCACTAGCTAACTGAGAAGCACAAAACCTTAAAGGGGAAAAAAAAAAAAAAGGACATCGGTTCTATGCTATGTAGGCCCACACTAAAAACTACATCTAGTTTGAAAAGTCTGGAGAGTTAGCTCTCTTTGGAATAAAAGTGTACTAGCCACCGGTGAGCGAATTTAACTCAGTGGTAAGGTCTTTAGTTAGCATCTGTGAGACCCTGGGTTCACAGCACCCTACCACACACAGCCCAAACAAAATGTCTATCAACTGGAATTTTCAGAGGAAAGAAAAAAAAAGGTCAAATAGGTTCTTTAAACTGAAAAAGAAATTAATTCACACGATTGTCATCTCATATGAAGTAACTCTCTTCTATGCTCTTGAGTTTTATTCATCTGGGAAGGGCAGTCTGAGGCCTTTTCACAGGGGGCTGGAAACTGTAGTGTGGCTGGAAAAAGCACATTGCAAGTGGAAGTCAAACATCACTACAAAAACATGCTGGAGCAGTCACGAGGAGTACAGATTACTGGAAATCTAAATATTCCCAGAAGCATGGCCACCGCCAAACCTTCCCACAGAAACAAGGTGGGGCGGCACACTGAGAACCGAGATTTGCCTTCTCTGCACATTCACTCTGTCATCCCCTGTTCCTCAAGGATGGATGTGCAGCAGGTAGTTGTGGGCATAGGCAACAGGACATTGAACAAGATATGTGAAAATCCCTGCCCTCACAGATTTAGTGAAAGTCATAATAACAAGGTAGGTAATTTGCTAAATGGTGATGAGTACAAAGGTCAAAAATATAACAGAGGGTCTGGGATGAGATACATAGGTGGATCTTTCCACTAAAAAGTCTGGAAATACATGAATAACGACCTGAAGGAGGTACACGAGCAAGTCACGTAGGTAACTGAGGGGTGCACGGGGACAAGGGTTGGCAAGTACAGAGCCCTTTAAAGAATGGTGCAGCTGGCCACTGGAGCTCTACCAAGCTAAACTACAAGAAAAGAGACACAAGGCTATTCAGGGTAGATAGTTTATACACAAAATAAAGGGATGTATAAGGACCGATTCATTGGAGGTTTTCTCAGTAATCTAGGTAAGGGACGGTGGGACCCTGAACCAGGCCTGATGCCGTATTGAACGGAAAATGTGGTGATATGCTGAAATATCTGGGTCTTTCAGAAAGTGAAATCAATTGATTGGATGACTGGTCTAAGTATGGTAGGAGACCAGGAAGACTCCGGTGCTCTGGGTGAACTACCCAAGAAGTGAAATTACGTACTGAGCTGGAGAAATCTGTTGGAGGAACAGGTCTAGATATATGAATTATATGACTGTTAATAGCCCTGCAATTACTCGGTGCCGATTAAATAAGGAAGGAAGCCTAGAGATATTAGGGCAGATGTTATCAGCATATTGATGAAATAGCCTGAAATTTGGATAAAGGGCCTCCTCCGAGATTTAGCATAGACGCGCTGGTACCCTGAGTCTGCCAGAGCCAGTTGAAAGGGATGATGATGATAATGTTCAGAACAACTATTTTGTATCAAAATACAACCTATACAAGTATGAAAATGTCGTAATGAACACTATTAATTTGTATGTTAACTAAAAAAAATATCAAAAGAATGGTTATTTTTTAAAGCAATAAGTTCTCCACTGGTAACATATTCAACACATACTTAAGAACACCTTTTATGAACTGGCACTTCAAGGGTATGAGTATATGATAATAAACAGAAGGAGAGGGTGGTACTCTGTCTCTGACTTTAAGTAAATTAATGTAATAAGGAAAGCAATTATATCAGGAATACAGTTAATAATAATTGTAGTGGTCCCCAAATAGAAGTTATCCCAACTTTTCTACCTACGCAGCTTCCCAACAAGTTTAGAAGCTTCTCTTTTAGAAGCATAGTCCCTCCAGGATTGCATCACCAAAATGGTAGATAACTTGCCTAAAATATACCTTAAGGATGGTAAAGAATGTAAGGTCATCTTGGTATTTCGAGTCCTATCTGACCAAGCACCATAACTCAATCCTGTTATCCCAGTACTGAAGAGACTGAGGCAGGAGAATCACCAGGAATTCAAGGGCCTACAGAGTGGCACCTGGCATCCTCTCTGGACCAAAACGAATCAACAATGGAATTGTCATCACCATTTCCCTCAACATTGAGCTGGCTATACAGTGAACTGTCACTTTTGCACCTTGTTGCGACCAGAGGTCATGTAAGGCAAGGGGTAGCCAACACCTGGCAAGGAACAAAAAGACAAAGCCGTCCCTGTGCTCTAGTCAATGGTAGCTATTGACAAATACTTCAGCACACAAAGAAGAATCAAAGGAGCCACTAGAGACACTGCTGACTACACCAACATACACACGGGAAAACAATGTTAGGGCAACAAAATATGCGTGGTGCTACCAAAGAGGGAATCCGGTAAGACCCTCTCTTCGCAGACTAGAAGACCGAGGCTCAGCAAGCCCACAAAGTGTGCTGAGCTAACGAGCGAGCAGCAGGGCCTAGGCTGGACTGGGACTGCTCAACCCGTAAGAGTGTGAGCCTCACCCGTAAAGAAAGGAAGCCACGGAAGTGGTCAGTAAGAAAGAACCTTCGCTCCAGGGTCCTCCTCTTGGAGGACACTTTATAGACTCGAGGGGCATCCTGCACAGGGTTACCGCAAGTTGTCAAAGATTTGGTCTGGAATATACACAACTGAATCTCTATGAAAGAAAACCTCTGGTGTGACTACTACAGCCTCAGAAACTTGCAAAGCATTGGCCAATTCATAAATCCACATAAATACTCATGTTATATGATTATAATATCTATACGGTGTATATTTTACATTCCTACAAACATATCATATGTAGTAAATGCTATTATTCATTCTATTAAGAAACAGGGTCATGTAGTTAACAAGAGACAGAGTATAAACGAAATAGGTGTCTGATGTCCAAATTCAGATAAACCTTCTACTTGCTTTCATCTGGAGATTTAAAAGAGAATGGAGTTTTTACTTGACATTATACCATCTTCTTCTTAGAGCCACAGTTTCTCCCCAGTACTCCCTCTATCTGGGAAAAGACAATGTCACAGAAGATCGACAAGATGTGCTTCTCACATAGATGTGTGTAGCAGTGTTTCTTGGGCTTTGGTGGCTAGAGTTTATTATCACCCTTCAGATTTACCATTAAATAGCAAGTAAGTAAGTTGACATTGACTTCTTCACAAACAAAAGCCAGATTCTTATATCCCTGATTAACAAAATATTCCACAGCAGTGAAAAAGAGGTTCCCTGTATTCGTATCAATGTACAAGAAAAGAAGGATATAATTAGCCATTTCTTTAACCCAACATCACTCCATCAGCCACCTGATGCTGAGGCTAGAGAAGGCAAGCACTCAAGGCTCATCCATTTGCCCTACCCTTTCTTCCCCAGGCCAGCACTGAACGGAATCAGCCATGCCTCACCTCGCTGTCTCCTTCCATTCCATCTCCTGTCCATCCACAGCCAGCAGCTCATCAAGTTCAGTGAATAGCTGAGGAGGCGCTGGGCTGTCATCTTCCTCTCCCAAGATGAATCGGATGCGTTCTGCGGCAGGAGAGACTGCAGAAGTGAAAATACTGTGGTTAAACACTGGCTGGAAAACCCTGAGGAAAGTATAGCTTCGGGTTCTTCCTCGCTCCCCAAGATCATTGGGCTTCCCTTCCACATTTTCAGTGGACATCCTTTATCTTCAACACAAAGCCAAAAAGAAATCAGAGCCTCCCTCTATTGCTTTGAGTCAAACTATATCTCAGTCCTCCACCCCTTTCAAAAGGACAGCAGTCTAGTTTTGTATGGTTTATGAGGAAGAACCTTGAGCCCTCAGATGAGCTGATGTCCAACCTCATGACTTCCCCTCCTCCTCGCTCATGACCTATCCAAGACTATGAGACAGAAATCAGTTTGAACCAATCATTTCTTCAAGTAGCAGTGGGAGGGACAATAGAGCACCCCAATCTGAGATTCCTCAGGCCAACCTCCTGCCCTCCCTCTGCCCTTGCCAGTCCCTCATCGCCTGTGACTGGGTAACTGTAAAGCTGAGAAGAAATATTTAACAAGATGGGATCTCTTCTTCCCATAATGGCAGTATCCAAAAATGTTTAGTCACACTTCAGTGCACTTGAAAAACAAGCCCAAGTAAAATATTGTACACCTGAGGGAGGGGGAAAAGAACATTTTCCAACACACTTAAGCACATAATTGAATGCCCTACTAGGTCCTCTTGACCCTGCCTCCTAAAATAATTGATGAAAAATTAACTAGAATTTCATCCAGATTGTGAGGTATACTCTTTAAAGAGAAGAAAGGAAAGAAAAGAAAAGAAAAGAAAAGAAAAGAAAAGAAAAAGAAAGAAATGAGAAGCACAATTATAAAACTAAAGCTCATGCATACTTCCAGTGAGTAACACCAAGAATGGCAAATCCATGTGAAAGCAAGATTCATATATATATTATGCACAGATGAATATATACATAAATAGACAAAAATATACATATCAAACAGCCTAGGAACATTTGCAAATCCCTACCATCTAAATCTATAGAAATATAGAGCTATAGAATTATCTATTAAAAATCTACAGAAATATCTATAGAATACGATAGCTTCAACCAAAATTTAATCACTACAAATAAATTCACAAGTAGTCAACCCAGTAATAAAAGCTAATTATTAAATAAATAAATGCTGTATCTAACAAAATAAAAATGATAAAATAATGACATTGGACAGTATTTAGAAATCATACAACGACATCTCCAGATGTTGGTTGCTAGCAGAATCATGAACAGAACACTCTCTACAGGGAAATTTAGAAATATCTGAAAACATCTTAAAAGCATATTTTATAAGACAAAAGTTCACCTACTAAAATTACGTTCATTTAAAAATATAAGCTATTTCAAAGATATTAGAATAAAATTGATTGTATTATTTATAATTGAGAAAAATTTAAATCCTAAACATCAAAAAAGAGGGTTGTCTAAAAGAAGCATAGCACAAATACACAACAAAATACCATGTACTCATAAAGTATGACATAAAAGGCGTTGGAGATGTGACTCAGATGTAGAGTTCTTGTCTAGCATGCTTAAGATCTACATTTCAATTCCCTTGTACTCAGGGAGGCAGAGGAGGTAAAGGCCAGCCTGATCTCCAAAGTGAGTCCAGCACAACCATGGCTACATAGAGAAAGCCTGTCTTTAAAAACTATGGAATCAGCCTTGAACTCATTGGCACAGGAAACAACTTCCTGAACAGAACACCAACAGCACAGGCTCTAAGATCAACAACTAATAAATGGGACCTCATGAAACTGAAAAGCTTCTGTAAGGCAAAGGACGCTGTCAACAGAACAGAATGGCAGCCTACAGATTAGATGAAATTCACCAACCCTACATCTGACAGAGGGCTAACATCCAGAATAGCTCAGGAAGTTAAACAGCAACAAATCAAGTAATCTAATTAAAAAATAGGGTGCAGAGCTAAACAGAGATTTCTCAACAGAGGAATATCGAATGGCTGAGTAGCACTTAAAGAAATTCTCAATGTCATTAATCATCAGAGAAATACAAATCAAAATGACTCTGAGATTCCATCTTACACTTATGAAAATGGCCAGGACTAAAACTCAAGTGACAACACATGTTGGCAAAGATGTAGAAAAAGGGAAACACTCCTCTTTTGCTGGTGGGAATGCAAAATTGTACAACCACTTTGAAAATCAATCTGATGCTTTCTCAGAAAATTGGAAATAGTTCTACCTCAAGACCCAGCTATACCACTCCTGGGCATATATCTGAAAGATGCTCCACCATACAATCAGGGCATTTGCTCAACTGTGTTCACTGCTGCTTTATTCATAACAGCCAGAAACTGGAAACTACCTACCCGTCCCTCAACTGAAGAATGGAAAAAAGAAATTGAGGTGCATTTACACAATAGAATACTATTCAGATATTTAAAAAAAAAAGGGGGGGGGGAATCATGAAATCTGCAGGCAAATGGATGGAACTAGAAAAGATTATTCTGAGTGAGGTATCCCAGAAGCAGAAAGACACACATGGTATGTATTCACTTATAAGTACATATTAGCCATATAGTACAGGATAACAAAACTACAATTCATAGATCCAAAGAAGATAAGTAACAATGAGGAACCAAGGGAGGATGCTTAAATATCACTCAGAAGTAGAAACAGAACAGATAGCAGAAGTGGTTGAAGAGAGGGAACAGGGTTAAAGAAAGAGTGTGGAGAGAAATGAGGGTATAGATCAGGCTGGGGAGAGAGGGCAGGAGGACAGATGGGCTTGCAAAGAGAAGAGAAACTGTGTTCCGGGGCATCTCTGAGACAATCTGGAGACCTATGAAAGGCTCCTGAGAGGATGTGGGTGATTTGAGGTGAGCCTCTTAGTAAATGGGATTATAGAGACTGAAGAGGACACCCTCTAACTAGACTGGACTCCTAGTGGAGGAAGGAAAACACCAACCCACCCACAAAAACTTCGACCCAAAATTTACCTTGCCTACAAGATATACAGGGATAAAGAGAGAGCAGAGATTGAAGGAAATGTCCAACCAATGCCTGGTCTAACCTGACACCCACCCCATGGGAGAGACTGAACCCCAGACACTGTTAACTTAGAGATAGGAGACTAGCATAGCTGTCCTCTGATAGAGTCCATCCAACAGCAGATCGAAACAGGTGCTGAGACTCTCAGCTAAACATTGGACTGTGCTCAGTGAATCTTGAGGAAGAATTGGGGAAGAATAAAAGACCCAAAGGGAATAGAAACTCCACAAAAAGACCAACAAAGCCTACAATCTGGGCCCAGGGGTGATTACAGAGCACCAACCAAGGACCATGCATGGGCTGGACCTTGGGCCCCTACACATACATAGACAATGGGTAGCTTGGCCAACATATGCAACCCCTAGAATGGGGAGTGGGAGCTATCTCTGACATGGACTCTGTTGCCTGCTCTTCAAGCACTTCCCCCAGACAGGGCTGCCTTGCCAGGCCAAAGGAGATGAAGATGTGCTAAGTCCTGATGCAACTGGATGTGCTGGTCTGAGTTGGTGGGCTGGAGGCTCCCCCTATCTAAGAGGTCAGGGAGAGGGGGTAGGAGCAAGTGGGAGGGAGGATGGAAGGAGAGGATGGAGGACCTATGGTTGGGATGTCAAAGTGAATAAATAAATTAATTTAAAAAATTAAAAGCAAAAAGAAATTGAGGATAGAGATGATTCCGTGGATCGTGTTTTCGTTGCGTAAGTATGGGGAGCAGAGTTTGGATCTCAAGTACCCAAATAAAAAGCTGAAAGTGGTAGTGCATATCTGTGACTTTAGCGCCAGCATGCGAAAACGGGCAAATCTTGGGGGAGGGGGTTTGCTGGATAGCCAGTCTACCCAAACCAGAAAATTCAGGGCTTTCTGAGAAACCGTGTCTCAAAAAAAAATAAGATGGAAAGCAATTGAGGATGGCAACTTGATGTCAACCTTTCATCTCCACACACATATACCCTCACATACAGGAGCACACATGTAAAGAAACGAACACACCCACCCACAAGAAGAGAAGCGAATAAAGTGAAAGTAAAGGATCCTAGTATGCATTGCCATTAAAATACCATTGAAAATAAAACGTGAAGATTGCCAGTTTATGACATGTAAAACACGTAAAGTTAAATGAAAAAACAATCATAAGCAAAAACTAATCCTACTTTAATAATGTTTTTTAAAATGTATGTCTCTGGATATAACCTAGAACCCCTGCTCAGATGTAGCCCATGGCAGCTCATTATCCAAGTGGGCTCCCTAGGAAGGGGAACAGGGACTGTCTCTGAAATGAACTCAGTGGCTGGCTCTTTGACCAACCCTCCCCCAGAGTGGGGAGCAGCCTTACCAAGCCACAGAGGATGACAATGCAGCCAATCCTGATGATACCTAGGGTCAGATAGAAGGGGATGAGGACCTCCCCTATCACTGGATGTGGAGAGGGGAAGAGGAGAGGAGTTGTAATAAAACAAGCCTGCCTGAAAAAAAGTCAAGAAGCCATGTCTTGCCACACAACGCACAAAAGACTAAACAACAGGATGCTGATTCAAACTTGGAGAGCATGACAACGGCCACCAGGAGAAGAGAACAGACTTGCTGTTCCCTAAGATGCACCGTCGTGAGGAGGTGAGCATTATTCAACTAACTGGATTAGGTGTTAGGAAAGAACAACCCACCGCCTTCTTGATGCTTCCAATGTTTCAAGTTACTGAGGACTAAGTAAATACTAGCTTCCACTCAAACTTCCCAGTACCTTTTAAGCAAACACCAAGAGACGTTAATGGTTCAAAAAATGTTTTAGGGCCAAGGAACAAAAGTAGCTTTTCCCTAGATGGTGAAGGGTGCCTTGTGTTCATTTCAGCTTGCCGCTGCATCTTTTCCAGTTGTGTGCCCCTGCGCCACTGTACAAACAGTGCATCTCTACAGACGCATTTACACTTAGCGAGCATATTTGGGATGTTACATGGTTTATTCCTCGCACTTGTTTTCTTCCGTTTACTTTTTCCTA